AGCCCAAGTAATTAATAAAACAGATAAATGCTCTTGGATGTATCTGTTCCTTACTGTTTTTCTATTCATCTTTGTCAGAGAAAAATGTAAAGTTTACAATTATTTTGTTAGGAGGGATGGGAAGGTGGCTCAGTGGTAGAGTGCTTGCCTTGCATGCATGAGGCCCTGGGTTCAATTCCTCAGCACCACATAAGCAAAAAAAAAAAAAAAGAAAAAAAAAGCCGGAAGTAGCGCTGTGGCTCAAGTGGTAGAGTGCTAGCCTTGAGCTGAAGAGCTGAGGGACAGTGCCCAGGCCCAGAGTTCAGGCCCCACGACTGGACCCCCCCCAAAAAAAAAAAAAACAATTATTTTGTTAGGAGAGTGAAAAATTTCTAAATAGAAACAAGAAAAAAAAGTGCATTCTTAAAAAGCCTCCATGAAGTCTGGTGATAGTGGCTCACACCTGTAATCCTTGCTACTTAGGAGGCTGAGATTTGAGGACTGCAATTCAAAGCCAGCCAAGACAGAAAGTCCATGAGACTCTTAATCTCCAATTAACCACCAAAAAGCCAGAAGTAGAGATATGGCTCAAGTGGTAGATCACCAGCCAAGGGAAACACTAAGGGACAGTGCCCAGGCTCTGAGCTTAACTCAGGCTAATGAAAATAAACAAAAGCAGCATGATTATATTCATATATCTAATGAACACGAAACATAGGATGTGCAAAGGCATTATTTTAAAACACAAATGATTTCTGATTATAGATATTATTCTACACTCAATTCATTTGAAATGTGTTTATTGAATACCTAAATGTGGCAGGAATGAGACAATATTCCTCTTGTTTAGGGGTTCATGGTCTAATGCAGAAGACTGTCCTATAAAGAAAAAGGCATAATACAACAAGTGCTGTAAGAAATATGAACGAAATGTTCTAAGAGCCTAGGGAAAAAAAATCGAGCTATGGTGACAGGGATTGTTAAAGAGAAGAAGACATTTTTGTGCCCAGACTGCTTTTATCCCAACTAAACCTCAAAAAGCCTCTGCTGACAGATCTATGTCCTTCTCTCCAGGGCATGCATTGTGTTCTGTACTACTGCTCTATAAGCTAGTTTGGGGGAAGTTTGGATATTTATGCACAATAATCTTAGTACAGGTTTCATATCTTTAATTAAAAAAATCCTTAGTCCTAAATGCTTCAGAATCTGCAAACATTTGAGTGCCTACAATTATGTCACAATTGGGAACTTCTACTACTGGCCTTACGTGACAGGTCATAGTCACAGTGCAGATGTATTAAAATTATTGTATGAGATTACCTTCCGATTATGTGTGTAAGGTTTATGTGGGACATGAATTGAATATCGTAGTTAGACTTAGATCTGGTTCCTAAGACATCTCATGATGTATTTACAGATATCTCAAAATCTGGAATAATCTCTAATACAGAGAGGCACTGTCCATGTCTGGCAGGGAACACGGTGCATGTTACTAGGTAGCAGGTGCATGGTTATTGAACGACTAAATGAATGGATCAGGTATGGCTTTTCATTATGTATACAGAAATAGTTCAAAAGTTTGAAAAGCTTTGAAATAAGAAACCTTTTTTTTTTGGTTGCAAGCATTCCACACCAAGGGTATTATGTTATTTTTTGGATATAAACTACATCCTATAAACTTTGTGTCCTTTATATGGTACAACCTATGTTATATTCATCTAAGAATTTTGCACGCTCTAGTCTTTTCCTCACCCAATGCTGGAGTCAAGGGGCACCAGATAATGAGTTTAGTTGACTGAAGATATGGGATATTAAAATAAGAGATGGAAAAGAATTTGGAGAAGTAGGGTATGAAGTCTGTTGCATTGGGCATGGGAAGTGACTGGAACTCTTGTAGTCCTGACAACAGCATGCTTCATCTGACGAGTGAGCTGCTAGTGAGCTCATGCATGGGAAGCTTTATTTTACTTATGGTACTTGAGTAAATCTAAATTGTCAGACTGTGTTTGTTTATGGGAAAATAAACTGTCCTAAGCTTATGTCCTATGGATGGCATGTGTGGGTTTGCATAGATATGATAAAATGTATGCATATGGATGAGCTAGATAAATTCCTGGAGGGAAGATGGGCTTATAAAAGATGATAATTCATGGGCTAGGATATAACTCTGTGGCAAAGCACTTGCCTAGCAAGTGCAATGTCCTGGGTTTGATCCCCAGTACCAAAAAAAGAAAAAACAAACAAACAAAAGATGATAATTCATGTTGTAGGACTCTGCTGTTCTTCTGCACGCCCCCAGAGCAGTTTTGAGAGCAGGAGATTGCCAGTTGCAATATCAGAAAGCTGTATTCTTAGGTGCTCTGAATGACAGTTTTATGAGAATGTTGTTATAGGCAATGAGAGTCTAGATGATAATTTATACTTTTTAAGGCAGATTTAAGAACAACAACAACAAAACCCAAAGAAATAAAAAGGGATTAAAAACTAGAGACATGATTTGATTGAATGTCAACACTTTACTTCAGCTCTCTTGTATAACTTGCAGGGGAGAAGCAGGAAGAGGAGAACAAAAGCAACACCTTGATGTAAAATTTTGAAACACAAGGCAAAAACAAACATTTACTTCTATATTTTGTGAATATTTTATGAAGCAAACACTTTAGGTTTTCTTTAAAGGAAAGCTTTTAGCATCTTTGATAGTATACCATTATTTGTCAGTATAAGCTAGAGAGCAACTGAAAGAATTCCAGATTGTTCTGTTGAGGGTTTCAGGACAATACCATGATAGATGATATTTAGTCAACATAAGCAAGGTAATGCTGCAGAAACCAAGATTTTTCTTTCAATAACCATGTTTATGCATTGTGACAGCTTCTAAATTAAAAATCTAGCAACTCTTAAGTACACTCAGCCATTGCTGGGGATACTGTAATAGAGGTGACTGTTGTGCTAAAAGGGGGAGTTTGGACTGTGTGCTATGGCAAAGTAATTTTGAAAATAGCACTTAATGGTTTGGTGCATTTATATGTCATGCAATCGAAACATTTTTATTGTCTGAACATTTTTTTCCCTTCTCAAATTCATATGTAGAAACTCTACTGCCTACTGTGATGGTATTTAGGTAGGGAGTGGGGAGGGTAGGTCCTCCTTGAATGGGTTGTAGGCCTTTTATTTTTTTTGTCAGTCCTGGGGCTTGAACTCTGGGCCTGGGCACTTGAGCTCTTCAGCTCAAGGCTAATACTCTTACCACTTGAGCCACAGTGACGCTTCCGGTTTTCTGGTGGTTTATTGAAGAGTCTCATGGACTTTCCTGCCCAGGCTGGCTTTGAACCGTGATCCTCAGATCTCACCCTCCAGAGTATCTAGGATGACAGGCATGAGCCACCGGCTAGGCCTTTCTTAAGAGACCCCAGAGAGCTCTCACCTGCTCTGCTGTGAGACACAGCAAGGTGGCTGTCTCTGAACCAGGAAATGAGAACTTGTCAGGCACTGAATCTGCCTGGACTTGGCCCAATCACCTTGAGGAACCTAAGTATCACTCAGTACTCAGATGGATACATTTTTTTTCCTTTTTCTTTGTATTTCCAATCCGTTAGAACTTTACTAGAAAACAATTTTGATTATTTTTGGAGTCTTTAAGAAATCACTGCTGGCTTCCAATAAAACTTTTAAATAAAATAGAATGAAGCAAGTCTCAAAGATATATATGTATATATATATATGCATATACATATATTTATTTGTTTTGTTTTGAAAGAAAGCAGCTATCGTGACAGGGCTTGAATACCAAAGGGGATTTTAGGCAACAGAGATTAAATCAACGTATAACTCCAGATTCTACCTGCGAACCTTCAAACTGGCCATTTCTCCTCTTGCGTACAAGGTCTCCAGCCTGTTAGAGGGAACTGAATCCGCATTTCAATGTACTGGGCTCTGGAGTCTGAATATGAAGGCAGCCAGGATGGACTTTCGGAGCTGACAGGCCCGCTTCTTGCGGCCTGGAGGGAGAGCGGGAAGGGTCCGAGCCCCCTGGAGACCCGTGCCCAAGCCCCCAGCGCCCCCTCGGGGCCAGGGCCGGGGACCTCGCTCCCTGCGCGTCTTTTCTTCCTGGCCCTCGTCTCAGCTCCGGCTCCCACCCCACGTTGGCTTTGCTTCTCCTCCTTCTTCGCTTTCCCCGAGAAGTGGTCAGAATGGGAAACGGAAGTGTCTGTTTGTTGTTGGCTGTGGTGCTCGGAAGTGTGTGTGTGTGTGTGTGTGTGTGTGTGTGTGTGTGTGTGTGTGTGTGTGTGTGTGATTAAGGGTTGGAAAACAGTCCCTTGGAGCAAGCTCGGGTTCGAACTCCTGGCGTTCCCGGCCCTCCCCTCCCTCCTTGTAAAAACCAGAGAACAATCATGAAAACACAGCCCATCGCAGGGTGGTCTGCCGCGGGGAGGAGGTCGGGGTGTGTCCGCGGGGTCGGCGAAGGCATTCGGGGATCCCGGGCCGGTGGGGAGGGGGCGGGACGCGCGCCCGGCCCGCACGGTGGGGAGGTCCTGCGCGGCCGGGGAAGCCCGTGCGGGCGCGCGAGGGGCGCTGGCGGCGGCGGCGGCGGGGACGCGGCGCGGCTGCCGCAGGGGAGCGGCGGCGGCGGCGGCGGCGGCGGCGGCGGCGGCGGGCGCGAGGGGCGGGGCGCACTCCGCAAGTTCTGCCGCCGCTGCCCGGCGCACTCGGCCGGCGGAGTCGCGCGCTGCTGCGGGTCGCGGGGCCGCGGGTTGCGGCGCGGGTCTCGGAGCCCGGCTGACGAGCCCGCGCGTCCGCCGAGGCGTCCGTCGGGTGCAGCGGCACCTCCTGCAGGGGAGCCCCGTCCCCGGCACCCCCGCGCGCGTGTGGCCGCACCCCCCCACGTCCCCGCGGTACCCGTAACGACTAGGGGGCCTGGGACGTGCGGGGCCGCGAGGCCGAGCCAGGCGCCCCCCAGCGGCCGGCGTGGATCCCCCCCCCCTTCGCCCTCCCCTCCACCTCGACACCCCCATGGCTGGGCCAGGCAGAGCGGAACCGGCGAGGTGAAGCCCGGGGGCCCCGCAGCCGGAGCGCGTGGCGGGGGCGCCGGCTCCATGGGCAGCGGCGCACAGCGGCGCGAGGATGATGATGATGGACGTTAACAGCAGCGGCCGCCCGGACCTCTACGGCCACCTGCGTTCTTTCATCCTGCCGGAGGTGGGGCGCGGGTTCCCGGACCTGAGCCCCGACGACGACGGGGGCGCGGACCCAGTGGCGAGCTCCTGGACGCCGCACCTGCTGAGCGGCTTCCCCGAGGCGACCGCCAGCCCCGCGCCCACCTGGGACGCGCCGCCGGACAATGTCTCGGGGTGCGGGGAGCAGATCAACTACGGCCGAGCCGAGAAAGTTGTGATCGGCTCCATCCTGACGCTCATCACGCTGCTGACGATCGCGGGCAACTGCCTGGTGGTGATCTCCGTGTGCTTCGTCAAGAAGCTCCGCCAGCCCTCCAACTACCTGATCGTGTCCCTGGCGCTGGCCGACCTCTCCGTGGCCGTGGCGGTCATGCCCTTCGTCAGCGTCACCGACCTCATCGGGGGCAAGTGGATCTTCGGACACTTCTTCTGCAATGTCTTCATCGCCATGGACGTCATGTGCTGCACGGCCTCGATCATGACCCTGTGCGTGATCAGCATAGACAGGTAAGAGGTAAGGAGCCCCGGGACGCCCCGTCCTGGGGGTCTCGGCTGTGTGGGGGACCCGAGAGCTCGCTTTATTTTACTTTACTTTTCTTTTTCTTTCTTTTTTAAACCTGAGAGGATCAAGCCCGATTTCAAGGCAGGGATGGAGGGCTGAGCTTCAGATTCAACCTGCACACCAACCAGACAACTTCAGTGACGGCAGAGCCCTGTAACCATCTCTCAAAGAACATCCTGAAAGGTGCCGCCGGTTCACCGTAGTGACGGGTTTCAGACCCGAGTTTTGAGTATTTAAAGCTCGAGTCATAATTCCACCAGGGGGTCCCTCGGCTTGCTCTCCCGAAGGACCAGGTTTGATGTTCTCTCTGGGCTAGGCAGACAGACCATGGTTTGCGAGGTCTAGGGTCATTTCTTGCTTTGAGAAATCTGTCCGAATAAAGCTGCCTCGATCTTGGATTGTAGGAGCGCTATTCTCTAGGCCAACGGAGGAGAAAGGTTTTTGGATGAATCCCAGAACTGGGATGGGAGGGAGGGAGGGAGGAAGGGAAGGAGGGAGGGGGCGGGGGCGGGGTGGGGGGACACGACTCCATGTCTTGTTATGATTGCTAATTCTGAATCTCCTTCTTGTGAAGTCTGGTTTCAGTGTTTGGCAACGCTGTCGGTTTCCAGAGTTTACTCCTTGCGTGAAAGGTTTGGTCTTTCGTCATATCCCTTGGAAACCTGCTCTGGAGAGCTCCAGTGGAGGAATTGAAATAGAGACCGATCATATGCCAGGAATTATGGGGGGGGGGGCGTGCTGCTTTGGGGGTGATTTATTATACTAAGAGGCCCACTCTTCTCCAGGGCTTTTGTTTTTTGCTGTTGGTTTTTTTTTTTTTTTTGACTGTAAGATTGTGAGATTTTTGAAATGGAGCTGATCTGTTTTGGCATGGAAATCAATATGTAGTTGACAAGTCGAAGTATGGTCTTGCAGTGCTCTTAGGTGGTAGAACAGTTCTGTGTCACTTGAAATATTTAAACCTTAATATTTGCACTCAGAATGCTGCTGTTTGAAAACCAGCCCAGGACCAAGAATCCTGTTGTGTTTAATGATACAGAGAAATAGTTGCTTATTTTCTTAGTGGCCCTACAGAACCTTTAAATGTGCAGACCTTTCAACATGGGAGAACTAATTGATGCCTCCACACATAAAATGATAGTGTCTCAAAGGATGGTCCAGCATGAACCTGAGATTTCCCTTTTTATTCTTCTCTTTGAAAATATTGCTCTTTGTGGTTTGTTGATATTTGAAATATTCTGCTGTTTTGTGGTGTGACCAAGGTTTATAATTAGGAAATAAAGGGGACGATAGGAGAGGGCATATTTTCAAGTAAAAGAATACATTTTATTTGCATTTAGTGATTTTGATTTAAAAAATGATACTGCCATTTTATACGTCATGATTGGAGCTTCTGACAGCAAGTAAAGAATTATTTTAAGAGCAGAGCTTGAAGTGCATATGTGAGATATTGGCACCCAACTTGGCAGCTGAGGTTCTGAATTACTGTAGTTAAGAATGACAAAAACATATGCATTTACAGTCTGGCTTTGGCAACAGGAATTAGGAGAATGCACTCAGTATACATAATAAGTATATACATGAACCACAAGTGCAGAAATCTGACTGCTCAACCAACCAAAAAACGGTGCTACTTCAATGAATGGAGTTCTTGTAAATGGGAATTAGTGTAAAAAAATAACAATCTGTGATGCGAATAATGCATTTGTAGCCTTTTTGGTTTTACATTTCATAATTGGTAAGTGATAAATAAATAGTACATTGTGCTAATTTGTCTCCTCAGGCAAATAGAGTTACTGTTCATCTGGGCATATTCAGGTTTGGCTGAGGTCACACTGTGGTTTCTGTACTTAAGCTAAAACATCCTTCACCCACTGGACAAGTGTGATTTAGCACTGTTAGGGATGTCCTGAATATAGGACAGAGGTCAATTCTTCTTGGCAAGACTTTCTAATTTCTTTATTGACTGTATATTTTTGACTATCACAAATTGTGTTAATATAGACATACATATCCTGTTTTTGTTCCTTTATGAAAGTTGTCCCATTAGTGAATTCTGCCTAAAATAATTTTAGGAGATCAGCATATCATTTCTTTAGAATAAATGAAGAGTTGATTAAATGGGAAGAAACATTGATTTTCTTCTAAGAACACACACAAGTAAAAATGAGAAAAAAGATGTATCTGAGATGAATAGTTCTGAGAGTAGTGCTTTCTTCACTTTTAATATACAACATGCCAGATGATATAAACTGTGCTATTAAGAGGTGGAAAACATTTAAGCTTCAGGTGGGTGCTGGTGGCTTATGTCTGTAATCCTAGCTATCCAGGACCTTAGATCTGAGGATTGTGGTTTGAAACCAGGCTGGGCAGGAAAGGCCTTGAATGAGACTCTTACCTTCAGTTAACCACCAAAAAACTAGAAGTAGAGCTGTGACTCAAGTGGTAAAGCACTAGTATTGTGCAAAAAAGTTCAGAGAGTGCCCAGGCCCTGAGTTCAAGACCCAGGACCAGCACACAAAAAATTAATTTTCATTCATTTCCTTATTAATTTCCTTTTACATATCAAATATAAGTTACATTGTATTTTGTGCAGAGCAAAGATGAGAAAAATAATATTTCTACTTGTATGCTCATACTACTATATTGCAAGAATTTGAAGTGTCTATTGGGTGTTTAATGTGACCAGAATGAAACCTCTACTTTTCTTTTTCTTTTTTTTTCTTTTGGTTGGTCATGGGGCCTGAACTCTGGGCCTAGACACTGCCCCTCAGCTCTTCAGCTCAAGGCTGGTGCTGCTGTACCACTTGAGCCATAGCACCACTTTTGGCTTTTTTTGCTTACGTGGTGCTGAAGAATCGAACCCAGGGCCTAATGCATGTAAGGCAAGCAGTCTACCACTGAGCCACCTTCCCAGCCCCCCATCTGCTTTTTCTTAATGACTCCCTTCCATACTGAGATGCTTTCCCAGCCATATTGTTCTTCATAGGTTTTAAAATTCCCATTTCCCCCTCTTCTCCCTTCTCTTTTCAGAGAATGATTGAGTTCATTGGAAAAGGCTAGGAACTCCCTTCCCTTCCACCATGGAACTACTAATCTCCCTCATGTCTGTAATGTTTTAAAAATTTCCTTCCAGTTAAAAACTAAGAAAGGGGCTGGGAAGGTGGCTCAGTGGTAGAGTGTTTGCCTTGCATGCATGAGGCCCTGGGTTCAATTCCTCAGCACCACATAAGCAGAAAAAGCCAGAAGTGGTGCTGTGGCTCAAGTGGTAGAGCGCTAGTCTTGAGCTGAAGAGCTGAGGGACAGTGCCTAGGCCCAGTGTTCAGGACCCACAACTGACAAAACAAAACAAACCAAAACCAAAACAAAACCTTAAGAAGATATTGTATCCTTGCAGACACCAAAACACCTGGGCTTTACATTCTTTCCTTTTACCGTCACAGGGACTTTGTTTCTTTACTGATTTCCTCATCTCTGGTGTGTCTTCAGGTTTTCCTTTCTTCTAAGCCAGGTTTACTCGCCTTTCCTTATGTATCCCCCCTTTGGCCTATTTTTTTTCCTCCACTTGCTGCAGTTCACAGGAAAGTGCAAAGAACTGTGCCTGTGTCCTGTCTGTCATTCCTTACTCTCAGTAGATGAGTGTGACACTTACCAGGTCTGCTGCAGTATTATTTGAAATGTCTTCAGTTCCACTTCTGTCTATCCCTACCTATTTTGTATGAAGAAGTTAACACGAGCTATTTAAAATTTCTTAAAGATTAACTTTAGACATAACAAAATGCCCACATGTGCAACCCATATAACCAAAGCTGCAGTTGAGGTTTGGAATATTTTTGTCCTTCTAGAATGTTCCTTCATGTTCCTATTAGAATGATGTTTTAAAACTATAACTCAAATTACCTTCTGTATATAGTTTAAAAACACACAAAAATAGGTATAAGTTATTTAGAGAAGGCTTTTTTTTTTTTTTTTTTTTTGCCAGTCCTGGGACTTGAACTCTGGGCCAGCATCACATTCAGCCTTTTCTGTTTATGTGGTACTGAGGAATCAAGCCCAGGGCTTCATGCGTGCTAATCAACTATTCTACCACTAAGCCACATTTCTAGCCCCAAGAGAAGCTTGTAGATAAAAAAAAAAAACCCTCAAGTAAACCCAGCATAGTGGTCCATGCTTGTAATGCTTGCTATTTGGGAGGGAGATTAGTAGATATTGATTCAAGTCTGGCATAAACATTGATAAGATTCCACCTTAACCAAGGAGTAGGTAAGGTGGTCAGTTTCTGTCATCCTACCTATGTGGGAAGAAACACAGTGGTTGGGCCCAGTGGCATATGCCTTGTCATCACAGTGACAGCAGAATCATAGGAGGCTTGTAATTCAGGCTGGACCCAGGCATAAAGTGAGACCATTTCTCAAAAGTAACAACCCACAAAAGGGTAGAGATGCTTTTGTGGTAGAAAAACCTCCTTAGCAAGTCACAAAGCCCTGAGTTCAAACCATAGTACTGAAAAGAAAAAGTAGAAGCATTAAATAGTGCAGGAGAATGAATGATACAAATCAAAGCCAGGAGAATAGTTATTCTGGTGAAGGTGTTATTTGGGGTCAGTACACATCTATTAGGAATGCTTTGTGTTTTAGTCTTGTTGATAGATACAGTCTTACTCTTTATTTTTTTTGTGTGTGTCTCAAATATATATATATATATATATATACATATATATATATATATATATTTAAACTTAAAAAAGGCAAATATAGAAAACTAGAGAATCCTAAGGGTGGAGCTTGATGAAGTTCCACAAATGGAACATATTATTATTCACACTATAAAGAAGTAGACCATTTCAAACTCCACACCTCAAACATAGCCTTTGTTCTTGTAACATCATAAACTGTACTTTTGCTTGAACTTTAAAAAATCTAGCTTGTTTTGTTAAAGGTAATAT